AAGACCTATACAATTTTTTTCTTTTTGATTTTTTACCTGGATTACTGAGATGCATCAGGACATTTTTTGCTCAAACTTTTGAAAAACTCATGGCAGCTTAAGAGATGAAACATTCTTTACACAGATAAACTGAGGTTTGAACAGGTCATATGTTCATCACAGGCAGGGGCAGACTGGCACACAAGGCTACGGGGGGTTTCCCCAGTGGGCCGATGGGTTAGTGGGCTGAGGGGCCGTCTGTGGTTCAGCTCGTGGAGATGCTGTCGCACGAGAGATATACGAGGCTGTGCCCCCCKCCCTCGCCCCCCTCCACAATTTTATCCGTTTGAGTCCCAAACTTTTGCTTTGTGCTCATTTTAATTTCCCCTAGCTATTTGGGATTAGTAACCATTATAAGGCCAGTTGGCTGTGGCGGCCATCTTGAATCAGGCTGAGTTCAGATGTTATTTTATTGTAGATTTTCATCCAGCGATCACTATCTGCAGGGTTTATTAAAATCTAAGATGTTTTAGAAACAGACACAGGAGCACAAGCAAAGACGAGGCTATCCACCTTCACCTTGGGGTGATAAATTTAAAACATTTGACACTAAAGAATGTTGAGGGCGAGTGAGCTCATCACAGGCAGAGTTAAAGACCTGAACATTAACTGAGATCATTTATTCTGAGTGACATTCTGCTACGTTGTTTACAAAACAGGACCATGTGAATAGAGTGAGGTTTGCACATCAAAACAGTGTTTCATTCATCTTTCAAGGAGACCCTAAAGTTTCACATTTCTAAGTGGTTCCATGTGCAGAGCAGACAGTCTGAACCAGCAGAGGAAACAGGACCTTTTCTCTTCTCTGTAGCAAAGTTCACTGAGAGTTGATATGACACAAACTTTTGTAAATACTTACGACAGTTTGTTGGCTTTTCTCAGACCACACTTATAGTTTTAACTTTCTCATCGCTGAGTCAGCATTTGTTGTTTTCCTGGTTTTTACTTTTCCGTGTTTCTTCTGCACACTTTGTGCTTTTAGCCATTCTTATTTCCAAAGGTTCAGCTCATCCTGAGGATATATGCTGTAACTTTAATACATTCATTTAATTTACCTTAAATTTACAAACATTTTCCAAATAAAAGTACATTTGAGACATTTTTATTGCTTTAAACTGTGCTCTGAAATCTGTTTTCAGAAAACTGTTCCTTATTCTACTTTTAGCATTTAGCTTTTGTTCTGCTACTTTTAGATTTCAGCTAGGTTTCTGTTAGTTTGTAGCTTCCCATTTGCGTTTTTTTTTTTTACCTTTAGATAGCTTTATGTTACATTTAGTAATTTGTTTGTGTCTTTGAGGTTTCAGCTCATGTCTTGCTAGTATTTAGACTTTTGCTACTTTTAGCTAACCTTTTGCTATTTTAGGTAATGTGTTTTTTAATTTTGGCATTTAATTGGCTTATTTTAGCTTTTAGCCATTGTTTAGCTTGTTTTAGCCAGTGTTGTGTTTTTTTAGCTAACGTTCTCCTTCTTGTAGCTCTAACCCTAAACTTACATCCTATGATAAACAAAAAAAAAAACATTAATTTAACCCTTTTAGCAAGTTTTATGTTAAATTTAGCTCCTAGTGGATCATTTGCTTTTTCCTCTTTAGATATTGTTATGTTGGCTTTTAGTTATTCTTTTGTTACTTTTAGCTTTTAGGTGATGTTTTCCTACTTTTAGCTTGCCTTTTGCTGATTTTAGTTTAAGTTCTTTTTTGAAATTTGGCTTTTAATTAGAATCATACTCATTTTAGCTTTTAGCCATTCATACACTAGTCATTGTTCAGTTTTGTTTCTTTTAGTTTTAGCTCGTGTTCTCCTTGTAGCTCTAACAATTTACTTTCAGCATCTTCAGGAAACTTTAGCAAAGTCAGATGGTGCATTCATCCTGTGTTTTAACAAAGAACTGCAATTTCTCCATTTTTTTCACAAGCTGCTTTTCTTTCACAGCTTTTAGCTAACATTCTGCTATTTTTAGCATTTGGTTGACTTTTGCAACTTTTAGATTTTAGGTAGCTCATTTGCTACCTTTAGCTTCTAGTTAYCAGTTTGCTCATGTTGGTTTTCAGTTTTATATTGTTATAAAKTTTTAGTGTGTTATAGCAGCCAGTCTTTTAGTCATTCAGCAGCCGCATTGCATTTTTAGTTTCTCTTCTTTATTTTTGCTCTTGGTGCTCTTTAGTTAACATTTTTTTTTGTTGTTGTTGAACACAGAAAAGCTTAAAGTCAGTCTTTGTGCGTTAAACATCAGGGACTGCAGCAGATTGTGTTCTCAGCTGGACCCTCACTGGGTCCACTTCAGCGTCTGTGTGGGAAAGAGACAGAAAATGAGTGGTTAGTCACCTGAACATGTGATCAAACTCTTCTATAACTTTAGCAAATGACAGGTGAGGTTTGTTTGCAGCAGCAACCATCTCATCTGTTCCCTTAATACAATTAAAGGTTTAGCTTGTGTGAGGAGGTGGTTTGTGTGTCGCTGAACTACTTCACTGTCATGTTTTAAAAAGCTAAGTGAGTGAAAGAGAAACTAAGAAAAAATGCCAGAGTAATGTGTTAGAAAATAATAAACATTTTGACATACTAGAGGCATAAAAATATTTATATTCAGTTTTTTATAGGAGGAGTGACAAATCACTTTAACACTGAAAGCTGTTTCACCAAATAATGACTCAATTAGTTGTCCTGGTGACCAGAAAGTTTTCTGCAAATATCCAAAACATCCAGTGGTCAGAAATGTGATTCTTTTTTCCTTGTGTGTGAGCACATCATAGCTAAACAGGAATTTTCACTTGCAATACATTGCCTTTCATGTAGATGTCTTTACTAAAAAAAGACTCAAAATAAGATTTTTATATTATTTTAAAGGGTGTGTGACAGTAAATTCATGTCAGGTAAAAGATGCATTATTAACATTAACAAATGGGAATCTGTCAATTAAATGATTTAAACCATTTTAGAGCCTTTCCTGTAATCCCAATATAAAGTTCAAGCCTCWGTAATAGAATATTGTGATCAATAGCCTATATGCCACGGACAGCCGGTCCAGAACTTGATGCCACTCCCAACACTTCCGGTTCACGGTCAACACAGTGTTAGCGAAAGATTTTTTCACCCAACAACAACTCTTAATGATATTCACAGTACATAATTAGCATTACATGTACCAACATTAACACAGGAGATGTACAGGTTCAGCCAAGTGGAAAAAAAATCACTCCAAAGTGGATTAAAGCCATAAAAACAAAGGAAATACGTTTGTGTTTATGGTTCCAGAATTTAGCCTTTTTCGCTCTTCTGTGGCTGCTTGTTCCGTGAATTCTTCACGTAGAGCTGTGACATCTTTTGATGTGAACGTTCACATTACATTTTAAATTCAACCTCCATCAGACTCCAGACTGGGATGCTCCTGTGCAGCATTTTATTTTTTGGAACGAAGCAACAAGCTGGAAATAAAGTATCGACTGAGTAATTTTAGGGTCGATACGCTCCGCGACCGAAGCTGGACATTATACTATCAAAATGGGAAATTAAAAGTTAAAAGACGAAGCAACTGGACTTCTGTTTCAGAGCTGTAAACACACGGAGCTACAGATTTAAACAGCGTGACTTGAGGTTAGTGTCTTATCGATCCTTCAGCCCCACCTCACTGATGAAAAAGTCAGATGGAATGTGACATGAGCGTTAACACTGCAGTCACCTTGAAAAACATCAGATATGTGTCTGATTTAGTCCCACATACTGAAACGGCCTGGGATGGATTTGAAAAAAATCAGATCTGTGGCATTCAGCCTGTCCAGGGTGGGGCCCTGGTAACCCAAGTCCAGGCAAGCCTGTTCATTAGCACCCATGAAAAACTTGACAAATTTTCTCTGCCAATGCCAAACAACTTATTCTGCTATTGTCTTTTGTTCTGTGCTTCTCATAAGCCAGGTGCTGACATTCAGGTGCCTGATTGTCAGCTGTTGTGGCTGCATATGGTTCTTCCTCATACTACTTAGCCTGTTGTTTGTTAAATGGATAAATTGTGAATCACRAATATGTCTCATTTCTTCAGACTTCACTCATCAAATCTAAGCAACACCAAACAAGAGWCAGTAGCAGAATAAGCTGTTTGGTAAGTATTTTGTGGGCACAACCCACATATTAAACTCTGCTGTTCAACCCATAAATGAATTTTCCTAACAAATGTGGCACCATTTAATGACAAAAACCAGACTTTCCAACTGTATAAAATGTATTGCTAAAAAGCATTGTTACAACAAAGAAATATCCAGCCAGACACAAACTTCTCTTTCATGTGTGCCATGTTCAGTTTTTCCCCTAAATCTTTGGACCCAGCTGCAGTGGGTTTTAAACTGAGGTTTGAAAAAAAGAACAAAATATAAAATTTGAAGGTATGAGTTCAGTTGATTMAAACACTTACCATGCTGTTGTATGACTAAATATTTGTTTGTCTAATATGCTTATTTGTAATTATTTGGTATCCAATAAACACCATGAGTGTATTAGTGATGGTGTAGGAGAGGATTCAGACCCTGGCTCCAACAAATCAACATGGCAGCATCCATTTTTATGGACTCAAATTTTCACAATAAACAAAGGTAGAGATGTTTCATCCATCTTTTTTATGTTGATGGATGCAACAAGGTGAATTTACTGTGATTCTTTTTTTAGTTGGATTTTACTCATATCCCATTACTTGACAAAAAAAATAAAAAAGCCCAGTAACAGTGGCGATTTTAGTCCCTTTTTTAGGGGTGCTCAGGCACCCCCCAACTTGAACTCAGCATCCCCTAAAAATAAAGAAACTACCATTTCTATTTTGTAGGAAGTCTTGTTCTCAAACCTTAGATTCGCAGAAATATTTAATAAATTTGGAACTAGAAGCATTCATAGAGCGCACACCTCTGTTAGTCACACAGTAACATGTATCCAGTCTGGTTAACACTCAAAAACCTGAGCTTTCCTCAGTCTTGAATGCATCACAGCTTTCACTGAGTGAAGGAATATGAAGTTAGCTGTACGGACTGTTTGTGAGGAGTTTAGAAATAAAATGAAAGAAAGAGTAATAGATGGAGAGAACACAGTGTCTTACAATATGTTTGGGTCACATTTCTTCAAATATTCCTCAATCTCAAACTTTTTCTTTTCATGTTCATACTATTGATTTGGATCAGTTCTACAACTAAACAAGGCACGAACATTGTCAAGTCAAAAACAAAACAGAAGACAAAACACAATGGGAACCGAGATGTTCAACCAGGGAATGAGTTCTGATAAAATGTTTCCATGCAGGAGCAGTGACTCTTGAAAAGAYAACAGCATCGAGACGTCCAGTGAAATGGAGAGCCATCAGAAAACGAGACGAATTTCAGGAAGAGATAAACAACAGACTTCAAGTATAAATCACCTCTGCCTTAGGACTTTTACCTGTTATATTATTTATATAAATGTCTGTAGTTATTTGTTGTTTTGAGGATTCATTCTGTTACTTTGTTTTATTTTTATTTTTTGTATAGTACAGGAAACCATTTTTATGTATATATACATACATATATACATACATATATACACACATACATGTATATACATATATAATACACACAAATATATATATATGTTGTATATATAAAAGAAAAAATAAGTAGGTCCTCTGGATGGGTTCTGCTTTAGTGAAACGTTTCGTCTCTCGTCCAAGAGACTTCTTCAGTCTGATGAGTTTCAGGTGAACTCAGCCTTATAAGCACTGCCTCCACATGGACAAACAGGTTAGTTACATGCAAAAGAGGGCCATCGCTTAACAATAGGCTAGTGAACAGCCCCTTGTTTTTGTCTTTTTTTTCTCTTTGTGTTGGTTATCAGTGGGGCCCTGATTCACATCTTTTGCTCACAGGGGGCTGAGTCATACTTGCAATAATAGCGTTGTAGGAGGAGGACAACTGGACACAAAGGCCTCCACCTCTGTTTAATGGTGGGCAGTTTTCTTCACTAGCATATGACCGACCTCTCTGTCCACCATGTGGAGGCAATGCTTTTAAGGCTGAGTTCACCTGAAACTCCTCAGACTGAAGAAGTCTCTTGGACAATAGACGAAACGTTTTACTAAAGAAGAACCCATCCAGAGGACCTACTTATTTTTTTCTTTTTGATTTTTTTCTACCTGGATTACTGAGATGCAT